CGAAAGTCTAGTCAGGGAAGCAAGACAAGGAAGGGAAATAAATAGCATCCAGATCTGTATGGAAGAAGGAAAACTCTACATTTGTAAATAATTTGATTGAAACTGCAAGATTCATAAGAGTGGTAGGCGAACCTATAGAAATCAGTGAAATTCTTCTACACCAGGGGAAAAAAACACCTCAGAAAAAGAAATGAAGAAAACGAAAATATTTGCATTTAGCCACCAAAAGATAAAATACTTAGGATAAATTGATTAGAGATACAAAGACGTCTTTACCATATTGCTGCTGCCTTAGAGAGCTACACAAGCTACCTTGCTCATGGGAAGACTTCACAGAATGAAAATGTCAGTACTGCTCAAAAAGTGTTCTGTTGATATAATATAATCCCGATCCAGATTTCATCACCATTTTTTTAAGACAGGAAATCAAGTACTAAGTTTATATGTGAGTGAATGAAACCTCAGGTAAGTAAGTAAAGCATTTGTGAAGAAAAAAATAAAATAGGTCTCACACTTCCGAGTTTCAAGACCCATAGGCCAATGGAATGTAATAGAGGATTCAGAAATAATCTCCACTATGAACAGCTGACTTTTTTAAAAAGGTCACAAAATATTAGAGGATAATACATTTTCTTTGACGACTAGTGTTGGCAAAATTGTAAAAAAACGGAAACAAAACAACACACCATGTACAAAGACTAATACAAGATAGATCAAAGATCTAATCATAAAACCTGAAATGATAAAAATCAGCAAAGTCCTAGTTTGTGGTACAGATTCCCAGTCAGAACTAAAATAACAAAAATAGCAGAGGATCTAGATGAATGAGACCTGAAAATTCTTATGTGGTTCAAAAGAAAATAAATAAAAAATGTAAAAAAAAAAATAACCTAGTTTTAGGGGCAAATATTTAACACTATCAAATAACTAATCTCTAAAATGTATAGAGGGAGCTCTGGTAGTTTAGAGGTAAGGAGTTGTGCTGCAAACTCGAAGACAGATGGTTCGAATCCATAAGCTGCTCTATGAAAGAAGGATGAGTACTCCATCTTGTTACTTGCCTCTGAAAACCCACTGGACAGTCAGCTATGGGTTGGTCCCAACTTGAGGGTACACAACCACCTGCCCATTAGCATTACTGTAAAATGTATAGAAAGAACAATCTCATAAAAAAATAAGCAGAGGACATGAACAGACATTTCATTTAAGATGACATTAAGCTGACCAATTAACTCATGGGGAGATGCTCTTGTTTGTTGTTGTTATTATATGCCATCAAGTTGCTTGCGACTCATAGAGACCCTATGTACAATACCCTTAAAACCTACTCTATCCTGTGCCACCTTTATTGTCTCTGACAAACCTGCCCTCATTAGTCACTGAATCAGTCCATTTCATTGAGGATTCCTCTCTTGCACTGTCCCTCCACCCTCCAGGCATGATATTTTTCTCGAAGGATTGATCCCTCCTTGCAGTATGCCCAAAGTATGTCATATGAAGCCTCAGAATCCCTGCCTCCAAGGAGCAGCCTCATTTCACCCTCTCTAGGATGAACCTGTTTGTTTTCCTAGCAGTCCATGGTATATTCAGAACTCTTCTTCAGCACCGCAGCTCAAAGTTATCAATTCTCTATCATCCCTAAGTTATTGTTCAGCTTTCTGACACATAGCAAGTCATTGCAAAGACTATGGTCTGGATCAGCCGCATCTTAGTCTCCAAACATTGCTGCTCTTCAGTACTCTGGAGAGGTACCTGACAGCAGACTTTCCTAACGCAGTTTGTCTTTTGATTTCCTGGCTGCTGGTACCAAGAGTGTTGATTGTAGAGCCAAGCAAACTAAAACTGTTAACAATCTCTCAGTCTCTTCACAGTCTATTACAATGCTGCCAGTTGGACCAGTGGTGAGAATCTTTGTTCTCTTCATGTGGAGCTTCAATCTATATTGAAGGCTGCAGTCCTTAACCTTCTGCAGCAAGCAAGGTTGTGTCATGTGCATAACACATGTTGTTGATGAGTTTTCCTCCAAACCTAATGCCATATTCCTTCTCATAGAGCCCAGCCTCCCAGATAATCCGTTCTTGTTCATTTGCCATTTAAAAATAAACCCAAAACCCAGACTCTTAAGATTTCATCACAGCAAAGCTGGTAGATTAGGACTTCTGACACTTCATTAGCAGCAATTTAACACATAATGCATTATGCCACCAGAGCTGCTTTCATTAGCCATGGCTATTGCTGTTATGTGCTGTTGGTGTCAGAAATAACTTATAGCTAGTCGTTTTTCAGTGCCATAAATCACATAGGAGAGTGTCTGTCTCCCTCCCAAGGAGCAAGTGGTGGATTCAAACTGAGTGCCTCCCAAAGAGCAGCTGGTGGATTTGAATTGGGTGCCTCCTGAAGAGCAACTGATTGACTTGAGCTCTGTGCTTTTGTGTTGGCAATGCAACACCTCACCATTAACAGAATTCTTTAGCCATTGTTGTGTATCATGGAGGCAAAACCAACTCATAGTTGATGCTCCATCACGTTTCCAGAGGCAGGAAAGCACATGGGAAGGAGAAAGTTGGCAGATTTGAACCACATACCTTTGTTTGGCAACACAGCTCCTTACCTAGGCCACTAAACATGGCAGCAAGGTTGGACAAAGACTCATCAGCAGCCTCCTTTATACAGATGATATAACCTTGTTTGCTGGAAGTGAGGAAGCCCTGAAGTGCTTATTGCAGAAAACCAAGGAGTTCCATATGGATTACATCTCAACATCAAGAAAACACAAATCCTTACCCGCTGGACAAAACAACAAATAGATTTATCTTGGCAGGAACTCTCAAGTGCTCCTTTGATGCAAAAATGATGAAGCTTCATCTCTCATACTTTGGGCATATTGCTAGGAATGGTTATTTCTTTGAGAGGGACATGTTGGGAAGGTGGAGGACTGGCAAAGGAGAGGGAGACCTTCAACCATGTAGGTTGACACAGTAACTGCAGCAGTGGGTTCTCGTATCTCAAAGATTGTGAGGATGGCATAGGATAGGAGAGTGTTCAGATCAGTTTTTCATTAGGTCGCTGAGTCATATTCAATTTGAAGGTACCATTCAGTAACGCTGTACCAATAGGTAACATTAAGATAGATGGAGAAAAGATTGACACTGTCATTGCTTTCATCTTACACGGATCCACAATCTTAACAGTGTTAGTACCAGCAATCAGGCGATTAGGAGACTGTGTTGGGAAAATCTGCTGTCAGTCCTCTCCGTGGCCTGTATCAGGTGCACCTTAGTCTCCAGAGAGACACTGTTGCTCCTGAGTACCTTTGAGAGGTCCCTAACAGCAGACTTTCCAATCACGATACGCTTTTTGATTTCCTGACTGCTGGTGCCAAGAGTGTTGACTGTGGAGCCGAGCAAACTGAAGCTGTGAACACTCT